GTCACCATTCCAGCTAGCACTACAAGTGCCACCTAAACAAAAGAAAACGGTGTTGGATGCTGTTGATGGATATCATTCCATCCCCTTAGATAAAGAGTCCCAGCCACTCACCACCTTCATCACAGAATGGGGAAGGTTCATGTACCTGAGAATGCCACAAGGATACCTAGCATCTGGCGATGCCTACACCCGAAGATATGATGAAGTAATAAAAGACATCCCCCGCAAAGTAAAAATCGTGGATGACACCCTACTCTATGACTCTGACATCGAAGGAGCCTTTTTTCACACCTTCGATTTTCTCCTCCATTGTGCAAAAAACGGCATCGTAATAAATAGAGAAAAATTCCAATTTTGCCAAGACACGGTGCAGTTTGGGGGCCTCCAAATAACATCTTCTGGTGTAACCCCGTCTAAATCCATGCTGGAGGCAATTTTGAGCTTCCCAATACCCAAAACACTCACCGATGCCAGATCATGGTTTGGGCTGGTCAACCAAGTCGCTTGGGCATATTCACTAAGCCCAGTCATGCTTCCATTTCGTGATCTCGTAAAACGAGACTCACACTTTACATGGAATAAAAGCCTGGAGGATGCATTCCAGCAGTCAAAGAAGGTCATAGTTGACTTAGTCCGAAAAGGCATCGCAACATTTCAAAAAGAAAGAATAACCTGCCTTGCCCCAGATTGGAGCAAAGACGGAATGGGCTTCCTACTTCTGCAGAAGTATTGCTCATGCACCACTGACAAAGCCCCAGTTTGCTGCCCTGAATGTTGGCGCCTGATATTTGCTGGTAGCAGATTCTGCATTGATGCTGAACGCAGATATGCACCTATTGAAGGCGAAGCAGCAGCAATTGCATGGGCATTGGAAAAATGTCGGATTTTTATAATGGGTTGCCCGAATCTCATAGTGGTTACAGATCATGAACCACTAAAAGGATTATTCGGAGATAGAGACCTTAGTAAAATCCAAAACCCCCGATTATTCAGGTTAAAGGAGAAAACCCTCAGGTACAGATTCACCATTCAGCACTGCCCTGGGAAATGGCACAGAGCCTCCGATGCTGTCTCTCGTAACCCAGCAGACATCTCACAGGCACTCCCTAAATGTATTCACTGCTGAACCCTCTCAATCAGACATCATAGAGTCTGACAACATGGATGACTGGGTCAAATCAAAAACCTTATTAGCAACATTCGGTGCAAATGACAACCTGCAGCTCATCTCAGCAGACGTTATCCGTACGGCGGGACGCAGCGACCCGCAATACAAAAATTAATAGAAGTAATACAAAAACGGATTCCAAAGAACGCGCATCCTCACTGCACCTGAAATCCGCGAATATTGGGAAGTGAGGCACCGCCTAAGTGTTGACGACGGGTTAGTGCTCTTAGATCAAAGAATTGTTATCCCCACCTCACAACGCGCAAAAATATTACATAGCCTACATTCTGCACATCAAGGCGAAGTTGGCATGAAGGCACGTGCCAATGAATCTGTTTATTGGCCCGGGATGAATGCTTCAATTCGTAATATTAGAGCAGGTTGTACGTTCTGCTCAAAATTGCCCCTGAGTCAACCAAAAGAGCCAATCAATTTGACACCATCTCCTGATTGGCCATTTCAGCAAATCGTCATGGACATCTTCCATGTTGGAAACCATGGTTACTTAGCATGCGCTGACAGGTTAACGGGCTGGCTGAATCTATATCACTTGAGCCACGGAGAAGCTAATGCCTCAAGGATTATTTCGATTTGCCGAGACATATTTCAAACCTACGGCGCTCCTGAGGAACTCAGCAGTGATGGTGGGCCACCCTTCACATCTCTTCCATTCAAGCAATTTTTTGCAAGACTGGGCTGTTAAACAAAGGTTATCATCTGCTGGTTACCCACAATCCAATGGTCGAGCAGAGCTCGCTGTCAAAACAGCCAAGAGAATCGTAAATGGCAACACAGGAGCCCAAGGATCATTGGATAATAACCGTGCAGCAAGAGCCATCCTCCAATACAGGAATACGCCCATTCAAAACATTGGGCTATCCCCTGCTCAACTACTACTCCACCGCCGACTACGTGACTACATACCATCCCACCCAACACTCTATAAGCCACACGCGAATTGGATAACCGCAGCACAAAATCGTGAGATAAGTTTGTCCCGGCGGAACGCTCGTCTCATAGAGCGATACAACAGAACAGCACACACGTTAAACCCCCTTCAAAAAGGACAAATAGTGGCACTACAAAAGACCAACAACCCGTCGATGGGACACAACAGGTCAGGTCATTGAAACCCTCCCCAACCACCAATACCGTATCAGAGTTGACGGATCAGGTAGAATTACCTTACGAAATCGCCGATTTCTCAGGAAACTGGATACACCAACAATTCCAGTTCCAAGACCTAGTGCAATACCTGAGACCCCCTACACCAGTGCAACAAACAGTCGACGCTGGAATAACATCAAACACTGCTCAGCCGTCTACAATAACACGGACAAAAACCCCTCGGGCATTGTCCAGACTACGTCCGCACAACCAGCCAGGTTTAAAGGAACTCATCCCTCCCCAAAGGCCACTACCCACACGCGATGGGGGGGAAGGAGATGTAGAATAACAATAATAAAAGCACTTACCGGCGTAAGAGTTCCAACTAGCGTCCAGCTGGCAGACAAAAATAAAGCAGGTTGTAACTTAATACATATCCTGCAAACTGAGAAATCATGCTAGTATTTATATAGTAATACTTCCACTCAGGTACCAGCAGCCAATCACAGCCCAAGCAATGGACTATCCCACTTTAGCATAATGAGATGCTCCATTGCACCATAAATAGCTCTGTCTCTATGTTGAATTAGTGCTTCACTCAGCTTGCTCCACAACTGAGTGGTTATCTTTACCACGTGATTGTTCGACAATTCTCTGGGTGGGATGATTTGATTTAAATCTTATATAATAGATTTTTCCATTTGGTTGATGCTGTCTGTCTTTTGACCAGGTTCTCTCCAGAACATGATGATGTAATTTTTCCTCGTTGCCTCCCGGGTGATATAATTTGAACATTGTATTGAACTGTTTAAACTTTATAAAATTGTTCGATGTCTATTACATTCAATAAAACATTTATAAAAGAAAATTGCTGCCTTAATGACCCGAAGTTAACAACTGGTGGGGTGGGGGAAACAGCATGTTCCGGAGATAACCCTTTGAACCAGAGACAACATCAGCTAAAGAGAATCCGTCATATAAAAAAGGAAATCAAAAAGATACCCTCTTAAACATAATAACCGCAACAGAATAATACTACTTCTACAGAACATAACTCAGAACACAGAAATACGTGTAAAACAAAAAACAAACCCGTTGAAAATGGCTAATGGATTGTCCGAAAACGCTTCGTACATTAACCAACACGGACAGGTTCTTGATATTCAGGATAAACATAAGTTTTTACCTATATAGTTTGTACATGAGTATTGAATTGTTGGTATTATTTTATAAAAATCAATTGTTAGTAAATTGAGTGATTGTAGAAAGAGAATATTGCCCCAAAAGTTTTTATAAGCCGTTTTAAGGAGTGTGTGCTTTATATATTTTCCTGCGTTTATATTTGAAATTGTATTAAGCCGAAGTAGTAGCGATCTCTGATCATTATTCTCTGGTTGGATGATTTTATTTAATTTTTTATATTATAGATTTTTCTCTTTGACTGATGCTGTCTGTCTTTTGACCAGGTTCTCTCCAGAACATATTGCTGTATTTTTTCCTCGTTGCCTCCCGGGAGATAAAAATGTAACATTGTATATTTGAACTGTTTAAAACTTTAGATCATTACGTCATTTTTCTCTACCACTGGTAAAACGGTGGTCAAGGCTAAAAGAGTTAAGGCATATACAAAATGTATTTAATCAGATACGTAGATAAGTAGATAAGTTAAAGTTAGCAAAATATGATTTTTTTACGAAAGAGATACATTTGTTAGGTTTTACCGTAAATAGAAATGGAATTAATCCTGATAAGGATAAAGTAACGGCAATAAAACCATTACCCATTCCCAAGACAGTTCGAGAGTTTATTGGAATGTGTTCTTATTACAGATGCTGTGTTAGGAAATTTTCAGGACTGGCAGACCCGTTAATAAACTTAACAAGAACACCAGGTTTAAATGGACGGATTTTTTTTCAGCAAGCCTTTGATATTTTTGAAAAATAAACTTCAGTATCTATGCTCGCTTACCCGGATCTGAATAAGCCATATAGTCTCTATACAGACGTTTGGAATTCAGCTATTAGCACGACCCTGACGCAAACACATTTTGGCGAAGTAGCAGGCAAGGAGATAGAAAAGTCCCTTTATTTCATGTCTCACCGATTGAGAGATACGCAAACTTGCTGGTCAACCATAGAACAGTATGAGTTTGCTATTGTTTACGCATTACAAACATCACCAAATAGCTTTCCAGGAACGCTTTCACGAAACACCACTAATCACAGGAAAGCTTTCCTTAGAATGAAACCAAACATATCTGAAGCTAAGAAAAAGCAAAAAGAATATGCGGAAAATAACAGTAAAGAAATTAGGTTTGAAATAAGAGAGCCAGTATACTTTAAGAATCGTCGGAGAAGGCATAAATTAGGAAAAAGATGGAAGCCATTGTAATGACAGAAGTACGCAGGTATAGGCTTTAAGAAAGCTTTATTCAACTGAGAATACAAGGTTTGCGTATAGTGTCCTTTTATAATCCCAGTAAACAGAAATAGCTCTCTCAAAGAGGATAGTAACAAAACAAGGGGAGACCACTCTTGATTATTCGTAACAGCCATATTATATAGTTATAGAAAGAACAGGACCGGTTTCCTATAGAATTAAGTATCAGCTTACAGGTACATCTACAAAGGCACACGCTGTCGATCTTCACAGTGCAAAGGTCGATAAATAGAACATTCTAGAAGGGCGAAATAGACCGATGCAAAAGGTTACCTTAGCGGCACCTATGAGTGACAATGATTCAGAGGAGGGTATGATGATAGACCCTCCGCCCAATATAATCGATAGTTTTCGGAGGATGCGTGAAAACCCTGAAGAAGCATGCGATGTACCTCCGTTGGAGAGGGTCGTGATACAGAGGGTGTTAGATTTAAAAATATATATATTAAAGTAATTAGTTAGGACTCCGAAGAAAAAAATACAGAAATGTATGTATCTGTGAAAATATTATTGTAGCTAAGTGTGTTTTTGTAAATTTCTCGACCATACGTCCCTAAAATCGACAAGTGATAAGGAAGAAAGAGAAGTTGTAGTCGAGGAGATCCAGAGGGAAAGTTTAGTTTTATGTTTAAGAGAAGAAGAGAAGTGTAAAAAAAAAAAATCAAAGTCTCTCTTATGAGAATATTGATTTCCCGAAATAACGGGCCGAGTTTAAATTTGTTGCAATGTGATATAAATCCACGAATGAAGTCGAGAGGGACTTCAATGAAATTGAACGTTCAGTGGGAAATTGATCCAAAGTATTAGTATCGTCTAAAAAAAAAAAAATCCCGAAAGTTGTGAATAACAACACAGAGTGGAATTGCTCTGCACCACGAGATGAGATCTTTCCTCGATTTTCTGCTAACAAAATAAACTCCTTATCATGTCATCAATTTTTTTTTAAGCATTCAACCAAAAGCAAGGCGGGAAGACAATAGCATGGAAGGGGTTACAGAGAGTTGGAGTGAGAGCAAATAGGAATGATAGAGGAAAGAATGAAGAGAAGGTTAGGGGACAGATCAGAGCATCTGGAGACGTCGATTGATGTTACATTTGAATAGTTGAAGATTATAGCTATCAGGAAAACAAGAACTGGGGAGGGTGTTACACAGGCGAGAAGTGCGAGACATGAAGCTATTGGAGTAGGAGAGACGGCTACATTTAACAGTTTCGACAGTGAAAGGGTGAGAGCGAGATGCCAGTCTAGTTGAACGCTTAAATTCATGAAGTCTGGGGACCAGCGAAAGCAGCTCATCAGAGCAGTTACCATGAAAGTATTTGTAAAAAAAGATAGAAGGAGGCAACGGCACGTCTGTGAGAGAGCAGCTGCAGACGAGATGCCAGATCAGGGCCAATTACATTGCATATCCGCCTTTGGATTTTATCAAGAACCCCGAGACAAACAGAAGAGGCTCCAGACCATATATGGCAGCAATACTCCATACAAGGGTGAATGGTTGATTTGTAAATTTGAAGGATTGACTCCGGTGAGAAAAATTTCCTGGCGTGGCACAGGGAGCCAACTTTCCTAGCGGTGGACGAACCGATTGACTCAATGTATTCGTTCCATCTGATGTCAGCCGACAATGTGAGACCGAGCAGTCGCAAAGAGGGGCTCTAGTGGAGTTGAGCGTGAGACATTCTAATGGGTGGCAGGGATGATTCTGTCTGGTGAGTAATACAGACCATTTTTTATATGGCAGCAATACTCCATGCAAGGGCGAATGGTTGATTTGTAGATTTGAAGGATCGACTCCGAAGGCTATTTTAACTTTTCTTTTGTTCCTAATGGACACTTATTTGCACTGATATTTCTTTTTGTTATTATTGTTGAAATGTTATTTGTTGATTATTTTATGTGTGCTGTAAAACGTACATATTGCTGTAGCGAGGGAGAATAACAATATTTTTTCTTTAAGACACACGACACATTCACATTTCAAAAGTAGTATCTGGCACGGTGGAGTAATGGATGAGCCGAGTTCGAATTCCAATCGAATCCATTACATTCACTTACGTGCTAATACCCTTGGGAAAGGTGTGAATTCTCTTCTCCCTCCAGCTATGGGTAAATAGCAAGACAGACTGGGTTCTATAGCCTTGGGTGGCAACTAGTCTAGGAGAAGGACAACTCTAAATTCAAACTTGGAGTGGATCCCCTAACGCGGATGGATGGCACTTTATGCTACCTTCCGGCAACTCTTGCAGCCGCGTTGGTACCAAACTGTATTGGTTTATCCTCTCCTTTGGACTCTGCTAGCAAGGCCGAGAGGGAGAACTAGACGTCTGGGTCTGGGCAGCCCTAGTTCTCCATATATCCCGCCCAGGCTCATAGCGCACCGCGCTACTCCATCTCTCTCTCTCTCTCTCTCTCTCTCTCTCTCTCTCTCTCTCTCTCGAGAGAGAGAGAGAGAGAGAGAGAGAGAGAGAGAGAGACGGACGGACGGACGGACGGACGGACGGACGGATGCCGACAACTCGGGATCTGCCACAACATATGACGATCCCAACGTGACTGGTAAGAAGGCAGGATTTGTAAATCTGTTTGCAAAAGATGTTGGTCATCCACTGATAAGTTTTCTTGACATCACACATGAGGAAGCTTTGTGTATAAAAGCTAGTCTAAAGGAACTCCAGGAAGTGATACAAACAGTTACTAAGGCTGTTAATTACATTTCTGCTCAGGCTTTAAATAAAAGACAATTACAAATTTTACAGACTAAGGTAGAATCTGCATATAAAGGACTGAAAAGTACAATAATGTTTGTTGGCTTAGCCAAAGTTTGGTTCTGAAATTATTTGCTGAATGCTTAGATGAGATATTGTTCATTTGGACTGGCCAACAAGTGTCTTACCAAGAATATTCTGAAATCATGTGTTTGTAAACTGATATTTTTTGCAAAGTTTTGTGAACATTTAAATTACTTGAATATTAAATGACAGATCTCTTGTAAGACACTTGATGTTATGTTTGGTTACATAAAGACTTTTCAAATGAAACTAGAATTTTTTAAGAGGGATGTAGAAAATGAGAAGTTTAGATACTTACCAAACCTACAGAGGTACATCAATGATCTCGCAAAAGATGGCAGAATAGACCACCAATGTCTTCAAAACCTGGTTGTAATCACCGAATCAACTGTTGAACAGTTCTTTACAGGATTTGATAAAATCAGAGAACTGGAAGAGACAGCAGAATTCATTAAGTTTCCATATAGTATCAAACTGGATGAGCTAAACTTGCAAATGTTTTCATGGATGATTTTGAAATGCAGTTGATTGAATTTCAAAGTAGCTCAATTTGGAAGCATAAATTTGAAGTTAAAGTTGACCTGAAAAATATTGAAAAGGAGTACCAGAGATAAATGCAGAAAAGGAAGTATTAAGGACTTGGAATACCTTTCCAGAAAATCTTGTCTGTTTAAAAAAACTTGCAACAGCATTACTATCCATGTTTACATCTACACATGCGTGGGAATTTTTGTTCTCAGTGATAAAATTTCTTAAGTATCGTAAGAGGAGTACGATGAATCTAGTAGTGCATGCAGATCTCTCAAGGTTACTAATTATAAACCCGATATAAAACCTCTGTCATCAGTGAGGCAGCAGCAGAAGTCCCATTGATAATATATAGTCAGCAATTTTTGTGTCTCTAGCTTTATCTGATGTATTCTTTTGAAAGTGGCAAAGGTTCAGAGCTCTAGAATGTAGTTTTGAAAGTAAATTAAATATATTTCCTATTTTTATACATTATTTATAAGGGATTTAAAATCAGCAAAAAGTTTATTTTTAATTATCTTTTATTATGTTTTAATCATAAAAATGTATAACTGGGAAAAAATATGTTGATTAATCGATAAAATAATAGTGATAACTTTTTGTGTTGATGTTAATAATAGTTAATAGTTTCTTTAAATTCTGTGAGTATGTATGTCAGTTACATTTATACTTACAGGCTAATAAAAAATATCACAGATATCTTGTCATAATTTTTTTTCATTCAGTCAGTTTTACATGATTTACAAAATTTCTTACTTGACTTTGTCTTGACTTGTATCAGTTTTCACCCTGGTCGGGTTGAACCGGCTTCTTCCCGAGCAAGTACAGCATCACGGACCATCGCTGCCCACGCTCGCCGATCCTGAGCCAGGTCACACGAAATGACGAGCTAATCGCGATACTATCGTCGAAGACCAACTACTTGTGGACCCGATAGTACTGCTAGGTCATCCTTGATTGTGCTAGCCCACATTCTCAGCTGCCCACCGACACGTTTTCGCCAGCCAGGAAGAGAAGGAGGGAGAAGTACATCGTGGGTGAGCTCTCCCTCCGGGAAAATTTCTTACTATATTGTGTCTTTATTGTTCCGGGGTGATTTTTATCATTTAAAGAAGTTCTTCACATACTTAAGAGATATTAAATAATATGTTCCCCAAAAATTTTCGTTGGCACGTGGAAAAATTTTGTCTCTGAGATTTGACTGGTTTTTACAGGCACTCTGTCTTGGGTAGTTCTAACTAGTTCCGATAAGCAACATTAGAATAATTACAATGAAAATATTTATAGAAAAGGCACAGGGAAGTAATGTTACGGCGGTGGGAGAGGGACTGAAACCGAGATGCCAGGTCAGGACCAATAACATTGTCGATTCTTATTTTGATTTTTATCAAGAATCTCTAAATATATAACAGGCTCACCAGACTAGATTTGGCAGCAATATCTCAAAGCAAGGACAAATGGGAGATTTATTATATTTCACCATGTTATCTATAAAAGAGTCGCATCAGACTAAAAATAGATTATTGCCAATTATTGACTGGAGCAGCCTTGAAAGTTATTTTCCACTATACAACCGATAGATGGAACGTAGCAAGCCTGTTGGTAATCTATTGCTATTTCCATAGCAAATGTTTTCACGAGCTTCATTCTTTAGTGTCACCAGCTTAGACATTTACAGCCAAGACCCGCCTTGCTACGTCCACAGGGTTGAATCACCCTTGTTCCCTACGTGTTCCTTTGACCAAAATGCCGTTCCACTTCGTCAGCTCATTTCGTTACTTTGAGGAACAGACTGCTGCGTGGATTCATTATAATCCTTGAAGATTATAATCTAGTTTTATCTATCCACCGTATGCTCGTAATCTTCGCTTCCTACTTACTCGTCTTTTGTTCATATCATATATCACATTAAGTAGATCTATCTTGGATGTCTCTTAGGCTTTGTAGTGGGTGAAGTTTGGTTAAAAAATTATTGTGAAAATATTCATAAACATTTTAAAATCTGTACATAGTGTACATTCGGGATTCGTTTTACTTTTCTGTGAAGTGTAGGAAACAACCCCCTCCCCATTTTTCAAGACAGCCAGAACTAAAACATTTCCCGCCATAATCTCGCTTTAACAGTCAAATTCAACCAACCAAGAATAATTCTTCGTGGTTTTTTCCTGCCTTTCGGCAATATTTTTGGTCTCAACTTCAAGAATATTCGCCGGGACGTGCCAAACAGGAAATGGATTCACTGAAAAGGTGCGCTTGACTTGTGACCGGGGAAAACCTAAATCGGCATCAGTAGAGAAAAAAAAAGCGAAAGACAACGAAAAGTAAATTTGCGAACGCGATAGATACGAGAGACGCATGCGCAAAAATTTAAATAAAGAAGATGGCGCATTGAAGTTGAATTTGCTGCCGTATCAACGAATCGTGATTTCTTTTTTAAATTCTTGTTTGATTTCATTGGACTGTTGTTGCTTGTTCTATCTTTTTGCCATTTCTTTATTTCATGCAGAGAAAAATATTTTTTGAATGTTTGTTCGCTTCTTTGTGACGCGAAAAAGATGCACTATTCTTTATTTAGGCGTTTAGTTCTTTCTCAAGAGGTTAAATGGAATCGTTTTAGAAACAAAAAAGAAATCTTACAGAATAAATAACAAATAAATATGCAACTAAGGATGTAAGTCAATTGAAGAAAAAAAAGGAAAGAAAAAATAAGATATATAAAAAAAGGATATTGTGGATTTTACAGGAACTTAAAGATACTGAGTTATTTTCTTTGTGCTGTGTCCATTAAAAACATAGGCTATTCTTTGTAGTTCTTAGCATTTTGCCTTTTTTACTATCCCACTTCCTGTTCTGCATCCAAGCTCATTAGATAGGTTACTCGCTCCCATTTCAATGTGTTCTGTGAGTGTCAAATTCTCCAAAATCTCTCCTTGCATTATTTACACGATTCGGACTGTTATCCTCATTTTCATTGCCAAATTCACAACGTTTCGGCCGTTGTATGCTTCGGAATTTCGAATCGAACCCTTTATTCGTACACCATGCCACGCCTCTTCCGGTTATTTCCCTTTAACCCAACAAGTTTTGGTTCACCTGCAACCATTTTTGTGGCCTGGTATTGAACTCACAAATCTTTGGGTCTAGGCACTGGATTTAACCAACGTCTTTATACACTGTGCACTCATTATTACTGGTTCCCATATTGTATTCATTTCTATGCTTGGTCGGCTCAGGAAGATTTTTGTGGCTTAGCATATGTGGTGATTACTTAAGTTTTCGTCTTTCGTATGGCAATGAAGATGAGAATAACAGTCCAAAAAATGTAAATAATGTAAGTAATCATAATACTTCATCTCAGAGATACAATCACTTGAAGAAGGTTGGAGAATGCAACAGTCGCAACATTGTGAATATGGCAATGAAGATGAGAATAACAGTCCAAATAATGTAAGTAATCATAAAACCTCATCTCAGAGATACAATCACTTGAAGAAGGTCGGAGAATGCAACGGCCGCAACATTGTGAATATGGCAATGAAGATGAAGATAACAGTCTGAATAATGTAAATAATGCAAGTAATCATAATACCTCATCTCAGAGATATAAACAGACTTTCCTTATTAGAAATTTCAACTTTTTCTTCCTTACTCTAAAATAAGTGTTCTTTTGTTTCCATTTTTCTTCTTCGCTGCCCACATGTTAAGTCCCTGAAATACTCACCATTCTTCTGTATAAACAACACCTGTTACCTCACGTCTCTTTTTCATCTAGATTTACGGCCAAATGACGTTGAAACACTGATTCTCGTACGATCACTGAAGTTAAGCAATGTCGAGCCTAGTGTGACGTCGTCCCCCGGTCGCAGCGTCGACTGTGTCGTTCGATCCCGTTCGCGGCGCCAATTGTGACGTCACGTGCTCCCCAAGCTCTGATATCCTGGTCACGGACAGCACCAGTTGTGACGTCTTTTGTCGCGGCGTCAGCTGTTCGCTCCTCGCTGCTCCAAACGTGACGTTCTAACCCTTTGGTTAGATTGATACCAGCCTCGTCGTTCTCAACCTGCTTCCAACGCCTGGTTACCAGGGTAACTGCACTGATCTCTGGTCTGCCTACCCACGTTGTGACTTGATCTTAGACAGACGAGATCAAACAGGGCTAGGGAGCCGTAATGCAAGTTGAGTCTAACGGGGGTGATAACACACAATTATGTATAAAAAAAAAGAAATAAAAT